TTGCCAAGACGAAAAAGAACGTATGGAATGGGATATGAAAAAAGGACACTGTCAAAACACGTGCACCGAACACAGAAAAAAATGGTTGTGTAAGGAAATTTGACAACTGTGTGTGACTACCGAACATAATTATTATAAAAGCTATGGGATGAACAATGAGAAAACCATTGATGTGGAGGGCGTTAATAAATTCTTTAAAAAGGGACACATTATTAGGGCTTGCATAAGGGAACAAACAAAAGGAAATAAAACAAATTATTGCCTAATTCAACCCTTAAGGTAAACTACTCATGGTGAATAGCGCCTTTAGGCTCAGAGAGAAAATTTCAGGTGGTTTTCCACTATGGCATTTCAGACCAATTTCCGTATGAAATTGAGCAATGCTGCCACTATGCAAAGGGTGGTAGCCACCCTTGAAGAAAACCAGGGCCGCGGGGAACAAAACTGCCAAAGCAACAGGTAACAAAACTCTAGTTATATAATTACAACCTACGTCGAAACGGAACGGCACGAATAAATCAAAGACCGTAGCGAAATATCTGAGGGCGCGGTGTTTAGCTACAGATGATTTTAATGGACGTAATTCTTCTGATCAAGTAATTTGTGGGTTGATGTGCGTTGGGTTGTTCTCAGTTTGGATTGGTTACTTCGAAAGGTGTTAGAGCCCATTCACAAAGAAACAGCGTACTAGCTGGGTCGGATCAACTCTGCGGGGGATCTAATTTCAATCAGTGGAGTCAAAGTAATTTTCCGACGCCCCTCCTCGAACAGCTAGTAAGCAATTAAGCCGAACGCACATAAAAGTTAATCACTAAGGGTGTCAATCAGTGTTGCCAATTGCACTTAGCGAGAGCCCCCTCAAAGTTGGACCGACCCAACTAGTACCTTGTTACCATTGGAATGCTCCCTTAGTCACAGTGGATAGACAAGCAGCAGATTAAGCATTAATATTTTCAGTCCTCCTTCGTTCGGTTTATATTTTTTATTTCACGCATTGTTTTGATGACTCTGCAACAGGCTTACGTACATTGTAGAATGTAGGTATTATACCGAGCAACAGCTTGGTGTGTTCCTTCTTTAAATTTACATTTAAAAATGTTTTTGTGTTTCAAATTTTCTTACACTTTATATGCAAGTTAATGCATGTAGACTTACAGCACTACTTATTTACACACAAAGCCAACTTTTTGCCTTGGTTTACATGTTTCGTCTTTGATTTTCAGCTCAACAATGACAAGGGCCAGCTTCCACACGGGGTACTTACTCATACATGTATTGGTTTCCCTGTGGGCGGCCATGCTGGGAAAAACGACAACTATTTCGTCCCACAAGTGCGACGTTCACGTGGACCACGGACCAAGAAACGACACATTGGCAAACTGCTTGGGACGAAATCTACGTGCGATTCCAGAAGATCTCCCGATTACTACAACCGTTGCTGTTCTCTCGAACAATGACTTTAGGCTCATACATATGAAACAGTTCCAGTTCCTGTCCAAACTGAGAGTATTGCGTCTAAGATCGTGCAATATATCTTATCTGAATAACGACGCGTTTTACGGTCTTGGCCTTCTTGAAGTTTTGGATTTGAGCCACAACCATCTACGCCATCCATCTGATCAAATCTTTAAATCGCTGAAGTCTCTAATGACTATTAATCTGTCCTATAATAGAGACATCTTTGGGGCGTCACTGTCAACGTCCCTCTTTGAAGGTTTGGATCGTTTGGCAAACATTTTTCTAGAGGGAATTGCTTTAAAAGAAGTAAGAATGGATGCTTTTGCAACAAATAACAAGCTGAAACAGGTATTTCTCAATGACAACCAATTTCAGCATATCCCAGAAGCAATATTTAAAAATCGCTATGTAAGTGAGATAGTTCTAAGCCATAACAAAATACATACTTTTCGGATTAACACGTCAGACACCACAATCCGCAAAAAGCTCGTCCTAGACTTGAACTCAAATCGAATCACTGAAATATCTAGGACTGATTTACGACCACTTTTAAGGTATAGTGAACTGAGTATGTATTTAGATAAAAACAAAATCACACACATTTGGGACGATGCTTTTATTGATGTGAAACACATTGGTGTACTGTCGGTATCATTCAATCCTTTATGCAAATTACAATTTAAACAGTCCAAAAACCAAAACACCACAATCGGCTGTCCAGCTTTCCGAAATTTAACTTTGAGTTTGAGGGAGAGCCAAATAAAAAGCCTAGTTGCACGACGCATAGACTTGTACGTTGATAGCCTGAGTTCAACCATGTTATCGCCCCTTCAAAATACATCTCTCAGAAAGTTGAATCTTGGACGGAATTCTATAAAACGATTACAACCATCAGCTTTCAAGGACCTGCCCCAGCTTACTGAACTAAAGTTGGACTCCTGCGGCATACAGTATTTCCCTTTACCAGCCCTACATCCCTTCAGAAACACAATAAAGTACATTGATCTCAGACAGAATATGTTGGACACGGATTTGTTGGAAGGGACACTCAATATGTGCCCTAACTTAACGGAACTTTATTTTGTTAACAACTTTGATTCCATATTTGTGAATAGTAAGCAATTGCAAGCGACTCATTACTTTGAAAATCACTCAAATATAAGGACTTTGGTTTTTAGGCCTAACAAGCCCCAGGAAATAAGAAAAATTGTCTTCAAAAATTTGTCTTCCCTGGAACGGCTCTCCCTCAGTGGACTTTCAAATAGTGCTATTATGACTGACACATTCAATTTGAAAAAGCTAAAGCTACAGGATTTACAATATTTACGGATATTATATCTGTCTAGAAGCGGGGCATACCTACACTGTGACATCCGGAGAGCAGATTACTTCAAAGGAATGCCAAATCTTCAAGAGTTACACATGAATTATAACCGACTGTTTCACACCAATGTCTCTATACTCATTGCTATGTTTCAATCCCTTGGCAATTTAATATCCTTAGATTTAAGTAATAACTTGTTATTTGAACTACCAGTGGGAATGTTTGACTCTATGGTGCGTCTCAGACTTCTGATTCTTTCACACAACAAACTGCGGACAATTCCCAAGGGACTATTCAGAAACTTGAAACAACTCCACACTCTAAGATTGAACTCCAATTCCATTACCATTATCCAAGATGGTGCCTTTGGTGGCTTAGTGTCTTTAAATGTACTTGAAATGAGGGACAATAAGTTCATCTGTGACTGCAATATACGGTTGTTTCAGCAATGGTTGCAACGACTTGACAATAAGGACTCAGTCGAGTTTTGCTTTGGCTCTTACTCAACAAACAAAATTCCTATCACTGAGTTCAAACCTGACTGGTGGCAGTGTGATAATAACACGACGAA